CTAAACTAGCGAAAAGTTCTCTGAATGGAGTAACTAACCCAAATCAACTAATTTCGAAGTTGAGACCTCAAAACCTCAGGTTTTGCTGGATTGCCTCTCCTGGAGGTCATTTGACCAACTGAACACAAATATTACACCCGTTTCGCTCGAAGTTGATTATGTCGCGTACTACAGGTTCCGGCCCTTTGCACCAGCGTGTGCCGGCCCCTGGGCACCAGCGCGCTTTCAAGAAAAAATTGTGAGAAAAACCTCAATAGCTCCGTTCAGAGAACTGATTCGCGAATTCTGAAGGCGGTTATGAGCTCATCGTCTCAATACTTGTATAACGATGTGCACCCCATTGCAAATGGCCATACTGACCGGATGACCTTCACTGGTGAGGACATTAACTGAATCATCTGCGCTAGGATGATTCGACATGACCACAGGTATCCAGTGAATTTCTGGAACGAAAAAACAACTTATAACAGCGATATCCCTAGAAATGACTGGCTATCCTCACGCCAGCAATATTCATACTCATTTGGCCATTTTTGACCACCAAAAAGTTCTGTATCAGATTTGATGGTTACAATAACAACACATCACGATTTACAGAAATCGCCAAGCATCCGTGGGTCGCCTTATCAGTAAGCACAAATGCTCCACAGCCAACCGATTCGAGCACCAAAAAAAACTGGCACTGCGCTTCTGCACGCGATACCTAAAATCGCTATTTCGCTGTTTCTGAAGTGCGACGAAATAGGCATTCACAAAAATTTCCAGCCTCATTCGAAGGTCAATATGACCCTGCTTAGGAGCAAGTAAATGATTGCGAAGCACGGGACGAGGATTTTTGCACAAACGTAGGGAAAAGAACCTGAGATAAGTGCTTCAGTTCATTTATGGGCCCTATTCGAAACGAGGTAGGTATCGCTTTTCTAGAGGTTAACGAGATTTTTTTCCAAATCGGTGGCCTGCTCCACACCAAAATACACCGCAATTCGACAAAGGGGGATAAAAAGGGACATTCGAAGAACTCCATGAGCAAAACTGGTACTACGTAAAGGAGATGAGGACTTTTGGACTAGTACTACACCAAGGAGATTAGGATTTTTACCTATACCCAGGGAAGCTCTTCTATATCTGTGAACCAACAAGATCTTTCCTAGATTCACAGACCTAGAACAGAAGAAATTCACTAATTTCGTACACATATTCGTGGGGTAAAAAGTGAATTTCGACCTACATCGATCTCAGTTCCCCTCAAACCAATGGCTCTTACTGGATCCCCTAGGAAAATAGCGCCATCGACAACATCATTGCGCTGCAGACACGTCCATTAGGATAAATCCGATAATACTTCCGTTTAACAGTCACTGGGCACGTACAAATCGAGAAGATCACAATGTTCATCATACATTTCATAGCACAAAAACCAAAAATGAAGACGTAGTAATGGATAGCAATAGTTAACAAGTACAAGCTGACTTGGAAATGTACAAACACTATAAGACGACAAATGAAAATGTTATGCGAATTTTAAACTCATAAGACCAACGATACCTTAATCACTAAGAACACATAATTAGACTTAATGCTACTGAACTCGACTGCAGACACGACACATTTTAACCGTTTTTGGGTATAAATAGGGTGAATGTCACCTAAACACAGGTAAGAAGTGCCTTGGGGTTACCAAAATCTGCCAACAGATTGGGAATTCTTCTATGATACAAATAAAATGCACATTTAAACAGACTTCGATTTAATCAGATTCTTCATCAGAGGACACATTTCTCTTCGAAGGCCTAGACTTTCGCCGGCTAGATGAAACTGATGATTGACTGTCCTGGAAAATTCGGGAAGTTAAGACAGAAACAGAAAAATGAGTAATAAGACTGCGTTCATATTTTGCGTCAGAGTTCACCGGCATCAACCAGCGTTTCGCGTACGCCTGCGCCGGCGACCAGGAATGTATAGATATCGATGCAACGAACGCCTCTCCTATCAGCGTACAGTAGCGCTCAATAGTGGAGAGTAAGGGGTAGTAGGAGGGTAGCAGACAGCTGGATTGGGCGCCGTGAAAATGCGAGGTGTGCAACCGTGCCGACACCTGTTAGGGCGCGAATTATGCAGTCTTGTAGTGCAGTTGTAAGTGTGGTTGCACACGCCGGCCCTGTGGCGCCAGCACGGAGTGTTGACCACGTGCCTTGAGCCCGACAGTCCACTAATAGGTGACACCTAGCCAGTATCTGCCACCGTCGACTTCGCCCATACTCTCCGATCACGCTGCTGTACGCCTGCGGACGCTGACAAGCGCTGGTGGACGCTGGCATTCGCTAGAGCGATGAGTACACTTCCATAGTGCCTCGCGATGCTAGTGGCCGCTGGTGGACGCTGACGCAAAGTGTGAACCTAGCCTAAGAGCACATTCGCGCAAGCAAACCTCGTTATCTTTCTTGGACGGAGTTCGATCTCGGGAATCGCTGTCATCTACAACTGCCTTCTCTTTCTGAGCACCAGCAGACTGACTGCTACCTTCACTCGATCTTCCTTTCAGAAGAGCCATCGGATCTCCGCCTGTGATCTTCATCCAAACAGCTTCAAGAAGCATCGAATCGTTGTATATGTCACTTCCTTCGATATTGTACAACTGAATAGGTTACGATTAGACAGTTGGAAAACAGAAACGCCGCAACGAAGGCGTGACTGACAAGGAAGCTACGGATTGCACACATACCCTAGCATTTTCGCAAAGAAGCTTGACGTCAGTTCCCATTTCTTCGATTGTGGCATACCTGACGGAAACAGCAATCAGCATCACCTGATTTCATGAGAAAAAGTATGAGATTTTACTCACCGTCCTTTGTCAATCTTTTTCTTAATTCTAACAAAATCCATAGGATTATGAACAATGTCGTAATAATCTGGTAGCTCTCGTTTCGTTGGAAGCTCGATAAACGGTACAGCAATCTCCCTGCCATCATTCGTCTTGAACCCGACCAGTATATCGTAGACCTGAAAACATCGGAAATGACAAAAGGCTGTATAAAACACAAACACAAGACAAAACACGGCGGAAACGTCATGGATATGAAACTACCTTGTTCATCACTTCGATCACTTCTGGACTGGCTTTCTTTCGTTTCTTGCCTTCCTCATCATCCTCATCTTCTGCCTTTCGCTTTCGCTTTTTCTTCTTAGCCTCATGTTCTTCCTCTTCCTGTATGCCCCAGGGTAATCACGAGTTTTTGCAAAAGTTCCAAAGAAAAAAGAAAACAAACCGCGTCGTCAATTTGTTTGAGCCACTGGTCATCCGACATAAGGTCCGTTGAGTAGTCAACCTTAGAAGAATGCAAAAATTCATGGTTAAATTATTTTTAAATAGGAGACAAAAGCAGGTTCTTCTTGAAATCCATACCTCGCGCCTACGTCGTCTCCCTGTGGCATATGGATCCTCCTTGATGACTCCTTCACGCTGATTACGCTCCAATTCCGCAAACTCATCTGATGCTTTCAAAATATCGTGCGGGATCTCATTCTCTTCCAGCAAACGAGGCTTTCTGAAGTAGTAACCATGAATTGGCCTACCCTTTCAAACGCGACCTAGCCTTTTTCCACATCAAACGAAAACTAATATCGCACCTATGAAGTTGTCCTGCTTCCTCCCTTCGTCGATCGATATCCATCGACTGGAACAGATTGAATTCTTCTTCGGACCTAGCTATCATCTGATTAATCGTTTCATCGTCTGGCACTTCATCGTCTTCATCATCCTCCGACTCAGCACTGAAATTTGTTATCACGATGCTTTCTTTCGAATTAGAGAAAACTTCATGCTCACCGAATGATCTGCTCCAACATCTGTTTTCGTTCCGCTCCAGTAGATCGCTGATCAAACTTTCCTGCTTGGATAACTTTCTCGTCGACGTTCAGCTTATATTTGGCCGCTGCTAAGATTCGCTCCTCCACAGAATTCGTAGTGATAAGACGTAAAACACGAACTTCTCTCTTCTGACCGATACGATGTGCGCGATCCTGGGCTTGCATATCCTGAAAACGGGAAAAACAGTGAATGAACGGCTCTATTGCGCTATTACTTATTTTATTTATGCGTATTTACTTATTTTTTATTTATGCGCTTTACTGAAATAACGCTGATCCACCAAAGAAAAATAGAAATAAAACCTAAACAAAACTTTAGACTACCTGATGTGGATTCCAATCCGAATCGAATATAATCACAGTATCTGCCGTTTGCAAGTTCAACCCTAAACCACCAGCGCGAGTAGACAGCATAAAGAGGAAATATTCACTGTCGGGAGCATTGTAGAGCTCTAGCAGTTGACCGCGTTCATCGGGCTTAGTACTGCCGTCTAGGCGAAGGTATTTCCATTCTGTAATTGAAGGTTAAACGTCAAGGCAAGTTGGGAGGAACGTATAATTTTATCAAAAACTGATCTTACTTCGATAATTGAAGAAGTCTTCAATAATCGTCATCATAGTGGTCATTTGGCAGAACATAAGCACGCGATGTCCTGTCGCTTTCAACTTCGGCAAAATACGGTCCAACAACTCCAGTTTACCAGAAACTCGGTATAAGTCTTGTCTGAAAGTAAAAACTCGCTCAGAAATCCCTCTCAGTCTCTGCAAAGTAGCAACCGACATACCCTGAAACCTCATCAACCTTCCAAAACGCACGACATGAATCCTCAACAGACTGGAAGAGGAAGGGGTGGTTACACAGCTTCCTGAGATGAACAACTGTGTTCATCAAAGCACGGCCACCCGACTGCTGAAAATTTGCTCCTTTCCTTTTCCGTCACGTTCTATTTACTCAAGAGACAAACTGAACACTAATCCCTGTGAAAGCTGGTCCTTGCCATGCGGTGGTGACTGGGTCCGTAGCTGCTGTAGAGTGCCACTTGCTTCGGCCAAAAGTACGAGAACGCAACCGGAATGTGGTGATACCCACGTGTCGTTTCAGCACCCCGCGCGCGCTCCTCAACATGCAGCGTCGGCACCGAAATGCCTAGCGAACTCGCAGAGGTAGAGAAGCACCAGAATTGTGGGTGCGCAGACAAGCATCCTGCTTGGCTATGGTTTGGCATGTGGGTTCATGGTTGTGGCTCAGCGCGAGCAGAAACGCCTAACCATGGCCAAGAACTTCATTTTTGTGCGCCCTTTCATGTGTGTTGTTCTCTACCTCTGCGTGTTCGCTGCGCGATTTTGATGTCGACTCAAGTACCGCGCCTTCAAGATAGCACGGGCGGAATTAGCGATGGCGGTCGGATACTATCCTCCAGCCCCATTTCCGCACTCTTGGGTGACGGCATTGTTACACTTGTACAGCTACCAACCCCTCTCGCACATTAAAAGAACCGTCCTCGGAGGTGAATGTTCAATCTGTCTTCAAAATTAACGTACCTGCTTGCTATCGATAAGCAATCCCTTTTGCATGTGCTTATAAAGAACTTTCTGCAAGGCTGACTGGTCACATTTAATGACATATTCGGTCTTATCCGGGAGTTGCGATTCCACCTAAAACGTTTACGTTTAGTGGTTGCAGCATTCAAGAGATTCTAGTCACTCTCTCTTTTACCTCTTTCTTCAGCCTTCTCAGCAAGAAGGGTCTCAAGACTTTGTGCAAACGCCGAATGATCAACATCGTTTCTTCTTGGTTCAGCTCCACCTATAACCCCTCATATTATAATTGGCTGCTGACACGCTCAACATTTTCGAAAAGCCCCGTTAAAGAAACCGCCCGAACTGCAGAACGAGCAGAGCCAGAAAGCGACGCACTAGTCGCATCCAAAAGGTACTTGTCAATGTCGTTGTTTCCTGGCTCCACCCATCCGGCAATCACGGACTGTGCCTTCAAGTAATGTGAAGCTGAAAACAGCGACAAAGAAGTCTACATGAAGTGAATATGGATGAAAAGAGCGAAGAAATAACAGTGAGGATTATTTTTAACTAAAGGCTAACCTTTTCTCCTGTAGTGGCAAACGGTGCATTGAACCATTGTTCGAAGGTTCCGCACGAACTGAAGATTGACGGGAGAAGGAAGTTCAGGAGAGCCCACAATTCTGGCAACTGAACGGTAATCCACATAAGTTCTCCGGACACTGCTGCGGAAAATGACTACCTACACTCCTTATACCTGAGTTGGAGTAGGCGTGGCATTTAGACATGGCACTGGGTGGGTTACTCGTGGGATATTTCAATTCAAACAACTGTCATCTTGTTCTGTGTTGGATAAAGACATGATTACAACTGTTCCAAAATGAAAATATCTCACCAAAAGCAGAGCCACCGCCATGCTTAGTTGAAGTACGCAGCCAAACCTACCACATCTCAGGGGTTACGAGTGTACAGTAACGCGAATGTAAAAAGGAATACCTTATTCTGAAGTGGAGTACCAGTGAGAAGCAATCTATGCTGGGCATGGAAGTAGCCATTCAACATGAGCGTAAGTTTACAGTTGTGGTTTTTGAGTCGATGTCCCTCGTCAATGATCATGTACTTCCAACGAATCTGGAGAACGAACATTGCAATCAGAACAAAGAAGCTTCCCTAGAAAATTCTGACCTTTCCAAGGAGAGCCTTTTCGCGAATCACATACTCGTAGGTTGTCATTAAGACATTGAAAGCTCCTTTTCGAATCTGACCTTCGACACGCCGACGAGATTCCTTATTGCCTTTATACACCACCTGAAATAAATGCATTGGACTTCAGAGTACATGAAATGAGCATTATAAAACTACCTTGACAACGGATGGAGCCCATTTCTCGAACTCCATGTTCCAGTTCGAAAGCGTGGACAGTGGGACAATAACAAGATAGGGGCCGTTGTTTTGTTTCACCTCCATCAAGTAGGTGATGAGGGAAATAGTCTGAAAATAAAATGCACTTTTTCACTCGAGACTTTATTGTCCGAACTGAAATACCTGAATAGTTTTTCCCAAACCCATTTCATCAGCTAGAATCCCATTCAAATTGTTGTTGTAAAGCGAGACCATCCACTCAAGACCTTTCAGCTGAAAATAAAGAATTGTCCGCGAAGGATATACCATTTGGTGCAGCGGTGACAACCAAACCTGGTAAGGCTTCAGCAGCAAAGTATCACTACCCATCGTAGAATGTTGTTGTACGATTTTCTCCTTTATCCTGTGCGCAGTGGCGTAATAGTCTGCCATCTGTTTGCGGTTCCTTTGATCATATTCATCTTCCTCGTTTCTAGCCTAAAATATACGTTGGAATATATAAAACCTTAGTATTAATGAAAGAAGATCGATAACCACTTCTCATAGACACACCTTCTCGAGAATGATTCGAGCTTTCGTTTCTTCATCCATGCCAGCATACTCGTCAACATCTTTCTTTGCAGGCGCTGGAGCAGGATTGTCTTCTTCGTCTGAATCGGAATCGTCTGAGAGCTGATCTCTTGGGACAACCTGAAATAATTTGCAGTTCTGAAAAAGAATTCAATTCAGGGGAGCATCTGCCTTCACAGAAGTGGCAGTCTCTGTTTCTTCTATACTCTCCCAAAGCCATACCGGCCAGTGCCAATTGATACCAGACTGCTTGATCAAGCAACGCGTACCGTCCTGTTCCTCCATACTCTGTCTGTGCACAAGCGGCCTGCGCTAATTCATTCCCGTTTGCGGCCGCGTTCGCGTATATATGACGGGTGATATATAGGATTGGAGCACCGAAGTGCAGTGCGTAGACGCGCGTTACAGCGCGTCATTGCCAAGTTTGAACGCTGCCACGTGTTATTAAGTACAAACGTAGACATTTTTCTCTCTGACGAGCCATAGTTTTAGTAAACGCCGAAAACGCCTTAACTGCTCGTAGATTGCTGACACTCACCCGGGTTCTATAGCAATCTACGAGCATACGAGGAAAAGAAACGGAGACGCTAGGAATGGGGGCTGGAGACCAGAGAGCAGCAAACGCAAAGATCGGTCGAGAAGCTGTACACGTGCACATCCGTTCCGAAATGGGCGGTTTTGAAAGCTGTAGGCTCTTGCGCTTTTATCACGCAGTTTAGAGGACACTAACAGGCGGACAGGCGTCCTGCGCGGGAATAGACCGAAATTTGGCGCTAATCATATACGATCTCCATATCGCACAACAAATTACCTCGAATCCAGGATGAGTTTCGAGCCAAACTTCCAACTCATCGGGTTTTGGAGCTTCATCGCCTTGAAGGATCTTCCCGGTTGATGTGTCACGAACGTGAACGCGAGCTTCACCTTCTTAACAAAAGAATTCAGAAATTGTATCAAAGTCATACATATTCATAATAAAAATATAACTCACCTTCCATTTTTGACATCTTTTTCTCTTCCCTTTTCTTCTTTTTCTCCACGTTCTGGTGCTGTCGTACAAGACTGCACAAACTTTCTACATACTCATCAGTTTGTTGCAACAAGTATACAAGACGTTGATCCTAGAAACAACACATTTTTCTTCGAAGTAAAGAAGCCAGAGGACTTTAGGTACCTTCTTTTCGTCCAGCAACGCACGATAACCCTCTTCATCTTCCTGCATGAGTTTTTGCATTCGAAGTCGTTCATTTTTGATTTCATCCTTCTTTCTCTCACGCTCGTTGTTCTGGTGATAAGTGAGAACAGCCTTTTTAACTTTTTGTGTCTTGAGAAGATTGTTCCTGTAAGAAAAAAAAACATGAAACCCCTTCAACAAAACATTACAACCCAACTTCGAGAGAAAATTTACCTATGATACTCCTTGAATTCTCTCCCATGTTGAATAATGGCTTGCATGAGATCAGTATGCTTCTGACGACGTTTTCTTTCCTGCTCCATCTTCTGTTGCTTCTCTAATTTTTCAGTGACTCTCGCCTCTCGTAATGACTGTCTCTTTGTTCGGCGATAGGCATATGGATTTAGAGCTGTCTCAAGCGTCGTATCTCTTCGGAGCGCTCCCATTACCTCACTTCGGACCTGCACAATAATGGCTTGAATTACTACAATGTACCAAAAGTGAACAATTTCTATACTTGAAATAACGTTTTTATCTCGAATTTTTTCGTAAGAACAAAGAATTGCCCTCTCTTGACAATAATATTCCCCATCACAACGCACCTGTGCTTGTAAATTCACCAGTCGAAGTGCACGTAGTTCGATTTCCGCCTTTATTCTTAGATGTGGAGGAAGATCAGCGGGTAGATTGCTTAACTCCTTGATACGAAGACCGACACGGTTTTGTATCCTGAATGATTCCGACTGCATAACAACCACAAACACGACCAACTACCCAAGAAAGAATGGGACCCGAGAGATAACTACTAACCTATATTCACGCTCCTTCAAAAGGGATGCAGGATCGATACCTACAGGGGTTGGTAAAGAAGTTGGTCTCGCACAACGTTGTTGATGAATATTCAAAACCTAGAAACAAGAATCTTGCGCATTATCACCAGGAAAAACGAATGACTGTGCCTTTCTAGGAAACGTATTGCAGAGAACGATGGTCTTTGGAGCAATGGAGACTTGCGAACCTTCATGAGATCATATGGCAGCTTTTCACCATTCTCGCCCTCGCCAGGGAATTCGTATGGTTCCGGTAGAAGAGATGTCGGCTTATTTTTCATAAAAACTGCTTCAGCAGCTAGAGCTGGTGGCACAGGCTTCGTTCCTCGCCAACAATTTGTACACGCTAACCTTCAAATAAAAACATTATGCACTATGTACAAGACTACATCACTCTACAACGTACCTGCGCCCGTAATTGGTTGAGTTGTGCGGGAGTGATCTGTGGTTGTTGTTGAGCTGCTGAGGGTGAAGGCTGTTGAGCAACCTCGGGTAGAGGAGCACCTTAACAGCATGTGGTTCAGTGAACAAGGAACGGTGCTTTTTCATTGTATCGGATCACTTGGTGTTCAGCACGCTGGTCATTCTACACCCCCACACACAATACTCTTCTAAGATCAACAGACAGGGACAAATTGTCTGAGCTTTAGAAGGAACCGGAGTGGCTCAACTATTTCGTTCACACTGGAATTCCTCCAGGTCTGAGTGTCATTTCAGCGCTATTCCACCTCGATGTCTCAGTTTGTTCTGAGCGTGGTTTCAAAAACGTCCGAAAAGATTACGCTAGAAACCAAAAGCGTTGCAATGATAGCAAAAGTATTCGACCTGCCAAATAAGCTTTCGGTCTTTAGATCATCTTCTGCAAGTAGCATCTATAAGTGCGGGGGGGGGGGAGCGTGCGAGGAAATCATCTCGCGGGAGCGCTAGTGGGCGTAGCCGCGGCGTCGCAATCGTAAGTGTGTAGTTGTTGGGCAGCTCAAACCCCTTCCCGCTTTCCGGATATCTGTCAACGATACCTCTTTCCTCCTTCTTTTTTCCATCTTTTTTCGCCCTTACTTCTCTCATCGCTTCTCCTCGTTTTCTTTCCTCTGAATGCTCAACCAGAAAATACGAAGAGAGTACACCTCCTTACTGCTACCTGAACAGGATGGAACCATCCACAAGGACTTCTCGCTTCACATCGTATTATTAGGCGCGGCGTCTGGATGACTGTCTTACTACACACTCTTAGCATAGTCCAGAAAGACACATCCGGCACACAAGAAAAAAAGTTGAAAAGTACCTGTAAGCTTGGACTTGAGCTGCAGCATTTTTTGATACCGAGGATCCGTTGTCAACTGCTGTTCTTCCATAGTTGCAACAGAATTTTCCAGCTTAGCTATGGTGAGCTCCTGCCCCTGAACAGTCACAATGTCGACCAATACATGCCAATTCAATGAAGAACTGACAGAAATCATCTATGCCTATCACTCGGTAATGGCCTGTACAGAAATTTAGATGCAGCCAATAAAAAACCTAACACATGGCTTTTTGAATGTGATGACGCAGTACAAAGCAAGTAATAAAGATATCGTCTATCCAGGCGATACAAATCACTTCGTATAAGCGAAGTGATTGTTTAGACCAAATGAAGATACTCCGAAATGACCAACTGATAATAAAGACAGCTTTATGGAATGAGAACTCTGGCCTCGATAGCCACGCCCTCTTTTTGCAGCGAACATAATTGGCATTTGCATCATACGCATCACACGCTGCCAATTCTACACAGTGTAGAATCTCACAATTTCATCACAACATACACATACACTTTAGTTCGCTGCGGACGGTTGGGCGTGTCAGGCAGTATGAGTGTGTCACGCCGTCAAAGCCGTTCTCTGCCTTCTTGTTGAAGCGCAAAAAGTGGTAGAAAACGAGTAATACGAACGATATGATACAGTCATATCATTTGCTCGCTTTAACAACTGGTGGAGAACGGGTTTGGCACCGCGCCAATTCATCCCGCCTGACACGCCCAACCGTCCGCAGCAAGCTACGGGGAAACCACCATTTTTTTGAATTTTGGCAATCTCCCGCTTGTTCAATCCTTTGAATGGGTGCAGTCAATGAACAAGCTAAAAATCGTATGCTCACCTGTGCTGCCATGGCTTCGCCTTGCATTGTCTGTTGTTGTGCAACGAACTCGCCGGCAGGCTGAGGCGGTTGAGCCGTGAACTGCTCAAAGGCAGGTCGACTCATCTGACCAAGACCCTCTCTGAAATCTCACGATTTAAAGAGTGCAATATGTCAATACCATGCCGGAGGAGACTCCGCGCAGACACTTGATCTGAAGGTTAGGAAACACGCATAAAAGTTTACTTAAAACAACCAAAACATTAAATGGTACCTAAGAAGTTTTTTCGCTGTTCAAGTATTCCGATGCGTGCATTTTCCCCAGGCAGCTTGAAATACATTGTATGGCTGGAGTCAATATCGCACTGCATTTGCCTAACCCATCTCGTTCAGCTAGCAACCGTTGATATAGCTCAGTTATCTTTATGGGAGTCCTCCCTCCCGGTGACAGACTGAACTAATATGCGTATGCTGTCAAGATTGTCGCGGAAGTTTTGAGAAAATTTCAGCTTTAGTTGAAGAAGGGTAGCAAACGAATACCCTACACACCAAATCAATGCTGAGAAAGAGTGAATGTTTGTAGATCAACCTAGTGTTGGTTGGTGTTATGATCCATTTTTGGTATGAGTTGATACTACCTGAAAAATTTACTCGCACTAACTCCCAACGCTTCCTAATTCATCTTCACCGCTTTGGCTGCTCTACCTGTCAAATCGGCAATGAGGCACCGTCACCGATGCTGGATAGAGCCCGTTTGAAAATTATCCGTAATAGGAGATCAATCGGTCTCTCACGAGGAAGTTTAGCTTAAATGTTGCATTCCCCCCATTCTCTTCTCACTTCATTCTAACTCCCACGCAATGCAATCACGCCCAAAAGTTAAGGGAAACAGGATGGACAATGTTCATTATAACTATGAATTCCCATCTCCCATTGCTGGTAATAAATATTAAACGGAGTGGCTGACTTTTTTCGAACTTTTCACACTCTAATACTATTCACTGGTGACGCGTAGGTTTCGAGGAGCCTTTTGAAGTATAAGCACCCCGTAAAGGAAGCCTTGAGAATGCGGTCTGACCATGCTGTGTGATGCAAATGAGTCGAGTCAGGGCACAGCATTCGATGGGGATTTTGGTCGAGCTCGTACGACCCCCCCCTTTTTTGGGGGGTTCGGTACGACCCCCCCCCTTTTTTTTGGTTTTTTTCACACAAAAACAACTGACAAGTACCCAGAGCTAGCCGTTCATAACTTTTTCCTAGTTTTAGTGAGCGTTCAGGAATAGCTTCGAGTTGTTATTTATTGTTCCCTACGTGAATCTGAAAAAAATCGAGAGGAAATAAACACAACTCAAAGCTATTTTGAACGCTCACTAAAACTAGGAAAACTTATGAGCGCAAAGGAAGGGAAAAGGAGAAAAAAAAAAAACAGGAACAATAAACATGAACGATAAATAAATGGTAATGGTACGATAATAATAAAATAATCGATAAATTTGTTAAAACAAATGGAAATCCAGTTGTTGTGCGCAGGACCCCAGTGCACTTGATTTGAGGGGCAGAATTTCCGCAGAAATCGTACGGTAGCAGAGTCTGTGTGAATTGCAGCTTGACTGGAGCAAACGGCTATTAGCCATGGAGCGAGAATTTTCAGCAAAGTAGGGTGTCTTTGAAGGACCATAACTTCCTCAAAAGCGGACCTGTGGGGAAGAGGAGAGCGTATTGGTAAATTAGAAGGTTTGATCTTCCTGAAAGTACTAAAATGTTCATGAAGGTCGCGAAAATCACAGAGAAATCTGCCATAGGGATTCGTTGGGGAGTGAAGGGTTGAAGTTCGAGTTGAACAGGTTTGAATCAATATATTTTTTTGTAACTCAACATTTCACAAATCTGAGAACGGATCCGAGCTTCTCAAGATTTTCTCTTTCTAAAAACCTATTGAACTGTTCCTGAAGCTCTCGGGATTCATGAGATCTCGCGATGGGGATTTCTTAGGGAGCACTCCCAGCCGCGCGAAAAACCCGTTTCCTGTGCACCGTTTCAAGTGAGCGTGTTCGAATAGCCAGGAACGCATGTAGAACGTATCCTGTGGTGGAGCAGGAGCAGGATATGGTTCGTTTAGCGCCGATCACGCTGACTTTGTATGCGCCGCGCACTGAGGTCCGCGCAGAGGTGATGGGATGGTGCAACTTGTGCGTAATGTCTGTTCACGCGAGCAAATGTGTCTATAGTATTCAGGGAGGTCTATGACGAACCTGTGCACTTGTTTACAGTGTTTTCCCTTGTGGATGATGGAGCGTGTCTGTGTCGACGCCGCCCGATCTGTGCTCCTCCAATTGCTGTCTCCGATAAAGGAGACCAACTGCTGGAAAACGTGTGATACGAACGATATGGTAGTCGCGTCGCTTGTCGAAAAAATAGGCTGGATCAGCCCCAAGCGCAATCGCGGACACGCCCCATCATCTGCAGCAAATCAGAGTATGCGTTTACTGTTTAGTCATCAACGGACTTACGAGATGATGTCGACTCATTTAAATTCCAGTTATTTCGTATTTTTATAGCTGAAAGTTTTGTCCTTTTTTTCAAATATCCGAGTTCTCTACAAAGTAAGCTTCGCTGTACCGGACTCAGCACATTGACACCTTTGCGCTGCTCGATACTGGCTACGCACTCATTACGACCCCCCCTCTCCTGGCGGCCAAATACGACCCCCCCATGGGGATTCCCCAACCAATGCTGTGCCCCTGCTCCTTCATTTTTCTATTATTATTG